AGTCCAGGTTTACCGCCGCACGAGATGACCGTCATACTGGTTTGCATAAGATGGTAGGATTCTAGCAGTTATTTTACTTTAAATTAATCCTCTCTATAAGAAAAAATTTTCTCGTTGCATTTTTTTAATGCGTAGACATTATAATCAGAAGGGCAGCCTGGATAATATAATGGCGAAAAWACCTCAATGCTAGCTGAAGATATAGAGCGCGTTGTGCATTTAAAATGTGGCCTTGAATCAAGTTGTAAATGTTCAGTTGTGATCTTGTAATGTGAATACTCGAAATTTCCTAAGTTAACTAGAATTCTTAGCGAAACTAGTGCTAGATAAAATTTAGGGTAGCAGTAGTATGGAGCAGTCAAGTTTATGATGACGCAACAAAAATATCACTTATGACACTCGATAGGAACATCGCTTCGAATCAAGGATTTTTAATTTTATGAAGACTAGTCAGGATAATATGGCAGTTTAATAATCAGGAAGATGAAAACAACAGAAACTGAAACTGTACAATTTATGAGCATTTGATATAAGAATAACATTAGTGGTTTCGTAAAGAATATTTTATATTTCAAATAGGGGAACCCCCTTAATCGCCGAGTTCACAGCGGTTTAAATGGACGCTCATGTTTCTTGTCTCATTTGTGCCGTCAGTAGACGCGCACAGGCCTTAAAATTATGAAGCCATTAATTTCGCGAATGCGCATTATTCCCAAAGCGCACCTGAATCTTTTTGTATTTACCTACAAGTTATGCTATTGATTTTCGTTTTATTTTTATTCGTTACTTTAATTCTCTAATTCTGTAACATCATTATGAGTTTTTAAGTTTCTGAAACTCAGACAAACAGCTCTGTAGCTATCCTATAATCAAAGCCTCGTTCAGTCCTAAAAAAAGAAAGATATACGAGAATTACATTACGCATTATATGAAGTGATTGTTCAGTTTTAGAATGATTTCATAGGTCGTAGTATTCGCCCTTGATTTTTAAAATATCGACAGAGAGTGAACTGGTACTGTCTTAATGGATCGGCAGTCTATACACAGTTTATACACTTGTATTAATCAACAAACCTAAGTGCTACAGCAGTAGAAGATAGCCCCATTAAGAGCGGTATTATCTCCGTATTTCTGATAGTTTTCCACTTGAGTCTTGATGCCGCAAATGGCAGAATTACTGGGACAGTTAACTTGATTGCCCCATTCCCCATGTGGCCCACCAACACCTTTTAACTTTGTGCCATCTTTGCAAGTGAACTGGAATTTGTTTGCTGAAAATATATGAATGTAAGGACTATAACTGACACATGACATAGAAATAAAGGTATGTTATAGTATGCTAGGAAGGAAGTTGTTCCGCGAGAAAGAACCTTGAAAATAAATTCTGAAAAATTAATTTCCGACCTTAATGGGACTGGAACACAAGGCCCTCGGATTTGTATACTGCCGACGCTCTACCAGCTGAGCTACAAGGTCAGACTGGGAGCAGATCGGGGTGAAATATCATGATGAAAATATATACAGCCTTTTGCACAAATTATGAGACATTTTTATATATATAAATATACCTAACCAAATATCAAAAACACCCCAGAAATTATGGTATATCTCTATTATATTTTGTCATGATTGCCTAGCATCAGGTTGTTACAGACAAAATATCAGCGACGGTATCCCATAATTTCTTGGGTGTTTTTGATATTTGGTTAGGTATATTTATATATATAAAAATGTCTCATAATTTGTGCAAAAGGCTGTATATATTTTCATCATGATATTTCACCCCGATCTGC